AATGTCAGTTAGTGAGGGTATGTTGTAAAAATATTCAAAACGATAGATTAAGAAATAAAATGAGGTAACAGGATAAAAACGAAATTTCATAACATAAAACGATTTCAATGTCGTAAAATAAAAATTACAATAAAGTGTTCATGCTTAGGATTTGTTTTTTTTTCTGAAATTTCCATTTTTTTCGTGGTGGCAGGTGCGCTAACTTGCCAGAAATAAAATTTTATTTTTATTCAAAATCATCAATATTTGCAGTCGGCGGGTTTGCTAAACAAGGTATAAAAAAAGTTTAAATTAATAGAGTATATAAGATAGCTAAATAAGAATTTTGATCAACAGAACATGTATCAGTCATACACTTAATGACTAACTTAGACTATTGAGAAAATTTTGATATCAAGGAAGAACAAGCGTCCTACTAAATTTCAACTAAAAATGTGAGAGAAATATTTTAATTTACTCTCAATTATTGTGCATCAGATTCATTAGCTGATTAAGTGAGGAAGTAATTTTTTTGTAGATTTAATCAATTTTTTTTGTTTTTATAAAGATTACAGTTGAACAATTAGCTATACTGTAATATTAATCTATGATATAATTAACAAATATAATTGATTGTACATTTGATATTATTAGGTGATTAAATGAGAAAGATAATTTTTATAGAATTAATCATATTTTTTCATAAAGGTGAATGCTTGTCATAATAATCTATGGTATGTACAGTAATTAACTATGATAGGAATATATACCTATATTTTTTTATCATTGTCTTTTGTACAGTATTTAATGTATTATTTTTGTAATACCTTTTTTTGGAAGTTGTCTTTTTAAATGTTTTATGAAATACCGTGTATTTCAAAATTTCTTTGTATTTGAAGACAAACATAGTATCTTGTAAATTGTACTGTAAGTGCTTCAAGCCACTTAATGAGCTTTTCTAAACATAACTTTTTTCATGTAGTAATACTCATGGCCAGCTGACTTCAGGAAAACAATAATATAGTATGCCTACTAAAAACATAGCTGGGCAATTTAACTTCGCCTAACGATCGTTGGCCGACGCGGTTCTGTGGTCAACGCATTGCCATGATGCGTGTGCAACGGATCCTTTTTTGTGGCTATCCGTTCAAGTTGCCGCCAACAGTCAGCAAACCGTGTTGCGTCCAGTGGCGGCTCTAGGATATATTTTCTGGGGGTGGGGGCTAAGTTGTCCGACAAGGGGGACTTGAGCTCGTAGGCTCGAGCTGGAGGAAGGGGTTGAGAGGAGGTTCCCCCTCCTAAATGAGATTTTTTAAAGAATATCAACCTCTGGATGGCCGAAAATGGCACTCTCTGTGACAGACATGTGTTGGCTTGGTGTGGGCCTATTTTTATATGTTTTATGGTTTGATTGCCTGACGAGCTCTGTCTGGCAGGGGGCTTGACCTGTCCGGTGGGGGGACTTAATCCCCCTGCCCCTCCACACTATCAAATTCTACAAAAAAATATGTGATATGCCCATATTTGGGTGTAATATTTTAATGTGGTTTTCTTTGAACTTTTGGGAGCTTTGTAATTTCTATGTTTTTAGTGGAGACAATAAATTTTATCTTGTATCTTGTAATATAACATCATCATGCCCAAATATGGGCACATCACTCAAATTTTTTGCATAAAATTTGATAGTGTGAAAAAAGATTTACATTCTGAATTTGTGGCAGATTGGTGGGAGGGTTCTCATGACAGCATACGCATTTTGCTTGCGATAGGCATGCAAACATTTATTGTTCTTTCTTCTCTCTCCGACGTTTAAAATATAAATATCTTCTTCATGTAGGTCTACAGTTAATACTTTGTCTACCTTAGCCATTCGATATTACTGTTATACAAATACAAAGATAGTATTATAATACCAAGAACTCGTCTAGCAATCACCCTAAACCTGTGCCATACACTGGCCTATTACAAAACCTTGATGGAGCGACCTGCTAAATCATCACAAATCTATTTGAGAGTGTCTACTTAAGGAGCGTGTGCACAAGATTCGTAATTTCAATGATGAGATACTCAGTGTATTACTGAGTTTGCTAAACCAGTTCTCAAATTATATAAAATTTGTAAACTTATGCTTTAATGAATGAATATCATTATGCATTATGCCTTTTGATGTAAGTAAATTGTTCAAGAAGCAATTTTAAGTAGTGACCAATGTGGGCCTGCAATTAATGCATTAGTTAGGATGCGGGACTACCAACATTGCCATTAAATATATTGATTTTATTTAAAAATTGTGAGTTTTTGTTTTAATTTCTTTTAAGCCTTTATAACAGTAAATGACAAGGCATTTATTTAAAAATGAAAAATCCATTTTCATTTTATATTAATGCCTTTTTATTCATATACTGTAAATTTATATTAACTATTTTAAGTAGAAACAGTTTTATTTTCATTCTTTCAGTAAAATTTAATTATGAACCTAAAAAAAGGTATTTTTAAATGTGTGAAAAGTAGTTATTTCATTTTTTTAAATATTGTCAATTGCTGTGTGACAGAAAATCTTTAGGCAGTACTGTATTTGAATTTTTTGGAGAAAAGGACAGTTAAAATAATCTGCCTGTTGTGAAATCTGGAAAAAAAAGCAAAAAAAAAGTGTTAAATTTTAGACAGCTCATATATTAAAACATAAACTTTCAATGAAATACGTATAAGAACTATTTTGTCACAAAACATAAAATAATTACACACACAACAAATAAATAAATAAAATTGAAAAAGCAAGGAACAAGCACATTTGACAAGAACACCGTAAACGTAAACAAAACCATTGTTGAGTTTAAGAAATTGAAACATAAATTGTTTTACCGATTTACAATAATACTTGAATCCACACAAAACCTTTGCAGAGAATATAGCAATGGAATACATCTTTGCTATCTTCTTTTCTTATCGTGTCTGTACACGGGTTCATACTCTGTTGAACAATGTTGGCTTATTTCTCTGTTGATCTATGTTGGCTTATTTCTAAAACTCAACGATATGATTTTCATGTACTGTATAGTGGTGAAAGGATTGGTAGGAACAGGGCTGCGACGTGAACACCCCTTTCTTTCCCCCTCTTTTATTGGGGGCCCCCACTTTTCTTGGCCTCAAAATTGATATCAAAAATATTTTCTTATTCTAATTTTCAATTGAAAGCAAATAACTTTTACAAAGTGAGCAAGTTACATTTTTCTATACTTTTTAAATTTTATTCCAGAAATTTTTTTATGAAAGGTATTATTTTTTGTACTGACCACTGAAATCATATTAAGACATGGTTGGTAACATAACTAAATTCACAGTTTTGAAATTACTGTTGTCTTTCTGACAACATGATTTATGATTGGTTGTAGCATAACACAACCAATCATAAACAAAACCTTGCTGTTTGATTAATTAAGCATTTTGAATATCAATAGATACTTACTGTGTATTACATTACAATCAAACAAAATACAGTTTGAACACCTTCTTTATACTTACATATTCATTTATATCAATCTTTGCGAGAATGTATGTCTCGATTCTAAGGAACTATGAACTTAGGATAAAATATTACAAACAAATCTCTAGTTTTTTTCAATTAAATCTAGTAGTGTTTGTTTCAGAACTGGGTTAGACACTATAGTGATTAATTCATGTTCATGTTTTATCTGCAATTCTATCACAGCTACTGTACTGTATTATCTCATCAATAATTCATTAGTACTAAATGACTACCTATACTGTATATCATTGAAATCGCCAAATGACACATATCTAGTGCAATATTAACATGGAGCATGAGGGTTGAGATTATTTACAATTATTTTTTTTTTAACCATCCTTTCTGAGAATCTGTTTGAAATATACAGCTTGGCGTGTCTACCACTGAGTCTATCATACAGTAAATTAATGAATCTATCATGTAATTTTTTTAAAGAATATATTTTACTAAATTTGGGAAAAAAACAAGTTTGCGATACCATAACATGTTTCATATCAATGTCAGCTCTTCTGAATATTCTGCTAGTTTCTTTCTATAAATTGTTAAATTTCTATTATTATTTAGAAATGCAACAAACTTACTTTTCTTTATGTTTCAAATACAATCAATAATAGACCAAATTGTTCCCTCTAGTTATTTGTGATCCCAAATGCCTACAAAAGTCACTGAGTTAATAGCTAAATTTCAAACAAAAATGTACTGCTGTTTGATACCATTAATCACTAATAATTTGGTCTTATCTTTCTTAATCACCATACTGTACCATAAGTCAGATAATGATCAATCACAATTTTGAATTTGAACCTATCAATACATGAACTTCTTGCAGAAGCAATCGCAACTGTGTCATCGATCATCATGAGTATATGTAGATAGCTGAGAAATGAATCAGCTGTTGATAATACTTTTACCACTAGGATTAAGTGATCAAAAAAATAAAGAGACCAGAAATTATGGTCTTACTGCTAAACTTAATGTGTGATACTGTATTATTTTTGCATTACCATGGAACGTTGATTTACTGTTATATTCTACATAGTGTTTTCATTTTATATCCGTATCCTCATTCTTGAAGTATATTTAAATATAGGCCTATGTTTGTGGGCAGAGGGAATTTGCCTAAATCCCTTGTTATCCAACGCCATGACAAGCTCATCAGACCAAAAATTAATATGCCTGCCTAAAGCGTTACTTTCATTGCCATTTCCTAATATTTTGGTCTAGAAGCACAATTTTGGGCCATACTGAAGCCATAAAAACTCTCCCAGTGAACCCTACCAGATTTTTAATTCCGGAATTCTGATTTAGGTTCTAGTTGACCCTTGGTTCTGACCACGCTGTCGAACATGTCAGACCCCTCGTTAACAAATTCATGGAGCCACCACTGACTACTATATCTTTAAAATATCTTGTAGCATGAATAGCATATTTACAGTATTTTCGAAATTATAAGATTCATGTATTAAATGTAGATGATCAATTACAATTGTTTCAGCAATCGCTACAGAGATGTCTGTTTGGGAAGGTGTAGTTGTGACCCCCAGTGAGAAGGCATATGAGCCACCCCCGCCACAGGAGGAAAAACCAGAGGGAGGGGATGTCACTGAAGGTGAAGCGGACGAAATGGAAACACAAGATGTAGTGTCATAGTGAACGTACTCAACGCTTCTCAAATGTTCTTTTTTAATGTATTTGTGTAGCTGTAAGTCTGCCCTTGGTAATATTTTTACTTTAATGCTAAGAAAGATAAATTGTATGTGGAGGAATTGGTAAGCCACAAACACCCAATGATGGAAGTATAGTTGTTCTCATGTAATAGTTAAGAACCACGAGTGGATTTAAGGGGGTAAAAAATAATGGGTTGAGGTTCCATAGCATTAAAATGTCTTGCCTCCATCCCAACCATTGTGGGCTTGAGGTGGTCTTAACCTTCGGTCTGTAAAAATCTCTCCTTGAGACACTTTATTTTGAATTACTACCCCTGTAGATCCACCACTGGAGTGGCTAAATAAAAGCAGTAATGGTATTTGAAAAAAAAAAATACAAGTGTTTATGAGAAATAATGTCATGAAACTTGACCGACATTCAATCTCATTTTAAGCGTAGCGTAAGCGTGACTTAATTCAGTCTCTTCCGTGTATGAAATGTCAATTGCTTTCTCCTGTAACTGAGCTCGAGCTGGACTGTGTACTGCACAATCTGTCCATCACATTAAATGCTCTTAAATGGTATCAGGTCATTTCACCCCTTTACCATTCACTCTGGTATGTGTTTTCGTCATGGGATAATTCACCCTGTGATACTGTATATCAATGTATCTTTATTTTTTAAAAAACATCAAACACTACAACAGTAAAAAACAGAACTGTGAACAAAATGTTTACAGTACAAAAGGTCTAGGCATGTTAAAAAGTAATTATTAAAAATATTATTCCATGTAGTATAGCAGTAGAAGACACACGATTCAATATTTTTTCTATTCATTAGTAGGAAATTAAACCAGACAGCTAATCAAATCAAATTAAATTGAAGATGCATTGGATGTGCTTACCTAAAGTTTCTATGTTTGTTTTTCTACCTGAATTTATAGAATTAAGACCAATTGAACCAGTTGTTTTTGTTAAAATACTGTATAGTGTTCTGTATGCAGCATGTGAGCCCCATTACTGTCTTTGTCTTATATTTTTACAGACGTTTTGAAATTGCGCTATTGCTGTGGTTTTTTTTTATTTTATTATTAACAGTGTTTTAAATTGCATTTTGCTGACACTATTATGAATGACCAACCTGTTTGCTGTAATCTGAATATGCAGTAAAGTGAATTTTTGTAAAAAAATACAAAGAAAATAAATACTGTTTTAAGTGAACTCTGGTATAAGCACACCCAATATCAAGCAAATGCTTCATTTGACCATTTTGGATTCCACCCTCCCCTTTCTCACAAAAACGGTTCCACCCTCTCCCTCCCCACAAAAAAAATCATTATGTATCTTGTTTTTTTACAGTTTTAATTCTTATTTACTATAAAAAATAATGTTTTTACCATTATGACATTGTTAAATAGGTATTCCTAATTATTTTATTTGTATTTTAATTAAACTTGTTTAAATATTAAAGCTAGGCCTAGAATTTGGTAATTAGTTGTGTAGAATCTCAATTCTTATCAAATGATCATCGGTGTGTACAAGAACGTACATTTTAATTTGTTCCAAGTGGTTAAGAAGCTATTGTAAAAACAAGCTTGTGTTTTAATGAATTAGTAAAGGAAAGAAAATGTGTGTCTGTATATTTTTAGTGTTTACAATAGTTTGTTGAAACATCACAAATTACATGTTTTGTGATTTTGGTATTAAAGTCATCATTTAAATAAAGCACTTAATAAAGATCTGTCTCTTGTGATTGTTTTGTGAAACTTGGCTCTTTTCCAAGCAATGAACGTGTTTTATACATACATGAGTTTGTGTATTGAATCCATTATTTATCATATGTTATAGATTGTGGTGTCATTAGATCCATTCTGTGGCCAATTTCCCTTCCATTTCAAGCTGGCTAATGCCCCTTATTTTCCATTATCATGTCACAAACATTGTGCAAAATCAAACTAATTTGCCCCTGTGCATTAATATGTCAGGTTTTGATCTATGGCGTTAACATGCACATCTTTTTCTACCTAACTGTTCACGTATAAATTCAATAAGCCTGGTGAAAGTTTGATCTTTCTTGAATCATCTGTTTTGTGTACATTTAAATGAATAACCTAATATTTTTTTGTGAATAATATGTAAAGAAAAGAGCTTTTATGACTGCATTTGTATGAAGTGGTGTAAACAGCAGAAAGACTACCGTGACACTGAGAATTTAGAGGCCATTCCAATGCGATGCGATCACTGTGTATGCAATGGTTTTTTTTTTTTAGTATGGCCTAATTTGTGCATTCAGAAAACAGTATTACTAGGGATTGGCAATAAAAAATTTAGATAGGCAAATTATTGCTTTTGGTCCGACGATCTCGTTGTGGTGTCGGACGATGTGAGGATGGTGATACGATGCTTAATCCTTCTCATTTCATTTCTATGTTTAACTGACAGCCATGCCTTAAAATGTGTTTTCCCCCAGCATTGTTGTTTTTCAGTATTTTGCCTTTTAATTTAGATATAAATACGGCTCCTTCCTGGCCCACCCATCTTTTTTCAAAAGCACAGTATGCTGTACTTCTGTATGAAGGTTGAAGGCAAGATTCAGAAAACTGTGATTTGTGCAAACTGGGTTTTCTGCAAACTGGATTGTCATGCTTTCGGTGAATTTGATTCAGCCAACTGGGTTTCGACAAAGAGGCCATGGACTCTGCAAACTGGGTTTGGCAAACTGGATTTCAACATAACTAGTCAGATACGTTTTTAATGGCAGATACACACTGAATACAGTGCAGCTACATGACAAAGTGAAGTGTCGCTATGTGCATAATCATTTTCTATTTTCAAAACTTTTGCCAAACAAAACAAACTCCAAAAGTTGCATGCTCTGACTACCGTTATCTTGTTAACTTGGTAACGATCACAACCACTAGACCACCACAATTTCGGGAGAAAACTTTTTGTAAACTGTACTTGTTTCATATCGATATATACTATGTTCGCAAAGTGCTTTCAGCTAAGATGAAACTGTGGCTATGTGAAAACTGATTATTATATTATTATTATTACAATCGTAGACATACCAGGAAATAATTTCCTCGAAAAAAAATATAGTCTCTATTTCTTAGCGATGACATAGTTATAGCATCACAAATTATCAGTTCAGTCGCATGTGGTTAGATTATTTTGACGAAGGCAATTTTAGAATGTCGAAAAAATTCCAATCTATGATCATGTAAAGAATATTTGTAATTGCATTCAATATTGTAGTAAGTGTTTTGACACACTTTGGGTAACTTTTAATGAGGATGAAAACGATGTCACTAGCCATGAAATCTCAAGAGCAACGGGATCGTTATAAAAAAAAAATATTGTAGGCCTAAGTGCGTTCATGATCCTGGATTTTTAAATTTTTAATCATACGAAGACGCTCATCAGAGTCCTATTTCATACTTATACAAAACAAGAATAAAATAAAGAAACTAGTTAAGGCCTAGAAACAAGGAAGTTGTGTTATTCTCGTGACATTTCAGAATTTTGGTTGGTTGTTTTGATTTTATTCTAGGTGTAGGCATAATTCTTGTGTTTATTGCCAACCATCTATCACACCATTCATTTTTGTTGGTAAAAGTGTTGAAGTTACGCAATTAATTAAGCATGGCAATAGTCTTCAAATTATCATATAAATATTTGGCAAAAAAAAAAAAAAAAACATCGCCCGAGATGGCTTGTGCGGCGACGGCGGTGGCGGTGGCGATGTTAACAATAAAAGTATATATACTAAAAATACCTTAAATTTAAAACTGCACAGTACATCAATAATTAAAATACTGAAACATTTACTGACATATGTGGCCTTTTCTGAGATTGTTAATAACTAAAGAAGGTTATAGATAATGTTAAAAAGCAGATTGTTGGGAGACCCGAAGATGACTAATGACTCCAAAGACCCAAAACTGGTAAACCAGCATTAACAGAATTTTACTGTTGCTACAGTTTTTCTCTTTTGTGGCGAACCACTACCTTACTTTCATTCATTCATTCATCATTAGTTCAGATACCTAAGTGTAATAAAAACTTAATTTTTCTTGAAATTTATGCCATCATTTGGTATGTGTATGTTTTTTTCTTTTTTGAGCATAGCTCCTTTTTTCTGGTTTTCATTAAGTTTAATTATTATCTTTCTTTTAATTAAGTTGTTGACAGATGGTAGTAAACAATAAAACTATAGTGTACAGTTTCAATTATACTTCACCTATCAAGGTAATACCTCAATTGCTACTAGATAATATAATATATACTCCAAGTATCGAAATGCATGCCATCCTGTCGGGATTCAATATTAATTAATATCGACATTAATTATGTCATCAGAAATCAATTGCTACAGTTTAGTGAATTATCATAGTAAACTCAACAGTCTTTTCATTATATCCTACAGTGAAAGCTTATAAAATATAACCAGTTTAAGTTTGTTTTTTTTTCATTTTTTAGGCATAGGCCCCTATAGCTTATTCTATTTATAGAGGTATGTTACATTTTACAATAAGTTACTAACAATTCATTAGAAAGATGGATATGTTAAATGGATCAAATGGCTAATGGCTTGATACATTAACTCAGACTCATCTTTAAAATTATATTTGTTTTAATTTTTCATTGAAAAAGTCACTACTATATAATTATTGAACTAGAAATGTAATGAATTCGTTCTTCAACCTATTTTGGATATTATTTAACTCATTCAACACGAGTTCAACAATGCTTATTTTTTTTGAATTGAAGTTTACAGTGATCACAATGACAAATTATCTTTTAGTTCATGGAATTAGCGCAGTTATCCATTATTCAATTCCTAAGACATTGTATTATCTTCGATATAACAAAGCTCATTTATCATCAGAAAATATAGGTCTACTTTAAGAACGCAATGGCTGTAGTCAAGAAGTCCAATCTCTCGAACATTATTCAATTAGAGATGTGTTGTCCCCTGAAAGAATGGCTAAAAAATCATTAAAATCAATTTTGAAATTAACTTGTTCACTTTGAAGTAATTTTGAAATTAATTTGCTCGTTTTGAACTAATTTTGAAATTAACTCACTTCGGAGTAGTCTGTGTTTCTTTCATTTTTCAGGGACATATTAAAATGTACAATTAATTGCAATCTTTCGATCCAAAAATATCAATTTAAGGTCATATGAAACTAATGTAGGAATGGAATTAGTTATGCATCTTTTGTTGGCAAAAGTATATTTTATTGTAATTGTCTATTAAGGGCTAACATATTACGTAGATATGAATTGAATTTTTAACATTCAATATTGACAGTGTATCTTTAAACTGTTTATCTTACTTGCTTTATAAATCCTCGTAATTGCTTTTGCTCGTTTAAAGGTATTTGTCAATTTGAAAACACGCACGACTGAATTAGTAAGCATAATACACCAAATTTTGTAATGTATTATCGTATCCTTTTTAAAGTATATATCGATGGAGTGTTTCACAGTTACACAGAAACGACTCATTAATTTTGCATTCCAATCCTCAGTCGATCTCATCCCCACATCTTCAACTTAACAACAATAAACATCCCATTATTATTACAGTATACCTGTTATATTCTTTTTCCCAAACATGTTTTCAATTCAAACGAAGAAAAAATCAATTGCAGTCAAAATGAAATTAGCCATATTGTCTGATAATAGACATTAGGTAATATTAATGACAGTTTTTGTTCGTGCTCTTATTGATGATAGCTTCGAGAATATTGTGGCTGTGTCTTGAGTCGAAGTGGTTAGAAGCTTAAGTACACACATTCAATCTCGTTTCTCGTTTGCAGGTTCGAAAGCTTGTTGATATCAGTTGATCAGCGGCCTATTCATTTCCAGTTTTCAAAGTCATCAAACACTGCAGCAGAATATCTGGCGCGAGGTATTCTAGGTACCCATCCAACAAATACCCATATAGACTTCTTAAAAACCAGTAAATCAACTCGCATGTTTTTACTATAAACATCCTAAATCAATCGAAATAATTAAAATGAATGTACATAAAATGTTATTATTACCATCAGTTTGAGATGTTACTTTTCGTCTTTTGTATTTGACATTAAAGCCTCTCGTGCGTAGGCTACATAATTTGGCAACGCGCACGGACTCCATTTGAAAAAGAGTAGGCCTACATCTAATGACCACATCACGAGTGTCCATGGCCTAGCATCTAACAAGATAATGATTAAATACTTAGGATGGACCGTTTATATTAGGCCTTCAAAATAACATAATGTACCGATATACATTACTGTAAACAAAACCAATCTATTAACTGCACGTTTAAAAACCTCAAATAAATACAATAAAATTGACTAACAATGCCACAAAGAGTAAAAGGCAAACTCTCACCCTGAATATAGGCCTATTGGTTATTCTAATATTCTGTACCCCACATAGGTTAATCGGAAAAGGTACACATTTTTTAAAGAAAGCGCGAATATTCTGAATAAAAATGTATTATTTGCTTTAATAGAGATTAATGATTTTTATCCCTACATTTTAACCAGCCAAAGTAAAAAAAAATTGCCAATGTAATAAAAAATCAACGGCTGCTATCCAAACGGATATCCAGCCCCGCTGGAATTTTAATAATATACTTCAGTTGGTCTGTCACGCCAAAATTGGTCCAAGCCAAAAATCGGTCCGGCGGACCGATTTTGGCGCCGGACCAAATTTTTCCAGACAGGTCCATTTCT